CTTCCCTGGCTCACCCCACTCAGCTACACTGACCTCCTGGCTACTCCCCAAATGCACTGAGCACAGTCCTACTCCAGGGCCTTTGAACTCCTGGCCATTCTGCCTGGTGAGCTTGTCTTCCATGGCAAAGGCCATTCTTTGCTTCAATCCTTTATTCAAGTCACCTTCTCAATGAGGCTGACCTGAGAAACTGGTTAAAATGGCAACTCGCCTCCCCCGCCCAGCACTTCCCATCCCCCTTACATCTTCTACTTCATAATTTTTTTCCATGCACTGATCACCTCCTACTTTATGGAATTCTTTATTGTTTGTCGTCCACTGCCTGTCACCCCCTGCAGGAAGATAAGCTCTAGAAAAACAGAGATACTTGTCAGTTTTGTTCACCGATGAACCCAACCGTCTAGAACGATGCCTGTCACAGTTTCCCCTCAATACATATTTTTCAGGGACGCCTGGGTAACTCAGTGGGTTAAAGCCTCTGCCTTCAGCTCAGGTCATGATCCCAGGGTCCTGGGATGGAGCCCCGCATCGAGCTTTCTGCTCAGCGGGGAGCCTGCTTCCCCCTCTCTCTGCCTACCTCTTTGCCTACTTGTGATCTCTCTCTGTCAAATGAATAAATAAGATCTTTAAAAATAAATAAATAAATATTTTTCAATTGAACGGATGAACCTCTTCACCCCTGGTGAAATGGCCCCCCCAGCCAGGGACACGGTGTCATACCAGCATTGCCCAGCAGATGGCAGCCGATGAACGCCAGAGACCGCTGCGAGCCAACGCTCCAGAACTCAAGGTTCTGCCTGATTAAATCCAAGGTAATGACCCAGGAGACAAAACTGGGTTCGCCTCACTCTTAACGCAGACTTGTATTTGTGAGAAAGAAGTTGTATGTAGAAGGTGAGAGGCTGAGCTGATAAAGCTTTTATCTAATAAAGGAGGCTGTTTACCCACACAATTCAGGGGGAAAAAAATGAAAACAGCTGTCTGAGAAGAAACAAGGTCAGAGTCTTCCCATGGCGGGGTGTTGGGAAGCGGGTAAACAAGGTTCGTGGCCCGGGATCTCCATCACTCCTCCAACGGATGGAAAAATGACATTTGACCACTACAACTCAGAGAAAGAAGTAACACTACAAATTAATACATCACCTGGAGGGCAGGGCTGTGTGTGTGTGTAGGTTTCCTATCTTCCCCAGAACATGCCAGAAGATGCCCTATTACAAGAACCTTGAGTCTCCCTCTGCAACACAGTCCTCTGGGCCCCTGCCAAGCTGCCCTCTTTCTGGGTGCTTCTGTTACTCCCAGAGTCAGGGAATTGAATTGCCGCCGTAACCAAGCCTTCAGAAGCCAAGTCCGGGGGAGCCTACCTTCTTTGATCGAATTCAGCACTTGAGGGAGTCAGGTTAGGGGGAGGCTCCAAGGCAGATACTACTTGTGTATCTGAGTCTTCTGACCCAGAACCCTCCAAGCTGGCCGGTCAGCCTGGATACGGCCACGGCAACAACCGCAAAGAGAGCAGACTTTACCCGGAGCCAACTGCGCGCTAGGCATGCACAGAGGGCATCGTCTACATGAACTTACTGGTCCTCAGGGAAGCCCTCTGATGTCACACCGTTCCCGTCCCCATCTCACAGATGGCCCAAGAGAGTTGCTTGCCCAAGGACTGGCAAGTTGCTCTCAAGCTTCCTCTCAACTCTGGAGAGGAAGGAATTTGCTGAGATGCACCCCGGATCCTGACGATCTCCAGAACTTCAGAGAACATTCCATCCAGCTGCTTCTATTCACAGATGGAGGCGCTGAGGCCCAGAGAGGGGAAGGGACCAGCCCAAGCTCCCTTGGAGAACTGAGGCGCTCTGCCCACCCCCAGGCACCAGGTGCCAAGAATTACCCTGCACCTCACATTTCCCTGCTAGTGCCATGCTCCCCCTCACAACCAAGTCACAGATTCCTAGATTCCAAATTTCCATCAGTCCTCACTGGCACGAGACACGTCTTCAGAAGATCTTGTCAAAACAACAGTACATCTCATTTTAGGGGTCTCATCAAAGAGGAGACTCCCCCGCCAGGACCACTGGCCTCTCCTGATGTGAATTCTGGCTTCGTTGCCTCGTTAGCTGGTGTTCTTGGCCCAGACCCTCAAACGCTGAGCACATTGGTTCATCAGTAAAATGGAAATAACAATATTCATGAAAGGGTTATATCACAGGCTGGTGCTAACACAAATATAAGAGGGGCGGCAAATGCGAGTCACCTATGTCATCTGAAATTTTCTTAGGAGCCGCTTTTTAAAAAGGTAGAGGAATTAGGTGAACCCAAGTACTTGACGTGCATGCACCATTTTTAATTTTTATAATTTGTTTCATTTAACCTAATATATTCGGAATATTATCATTTAAATACCTAATCAATATACAGTTTTTGATAAGATACTTGGACGTTTGATTTTCACTTCAAGTCTTCAAAAATCTGGGGTGGGTTTTCCACTTAAGGTGTATCTTGGTGTGGACTAGCCCCATTTCAAGCACTCAAAGGCCACATGTGGCAAGTGGCTGTTGCATTGGACGGCACTGTTCTAGGCTGCGCTAAGCGTTCTGCGCACATGGTTCTATGTTTTAAGTCTGTGTGTTTACACCTGATCTGGGGGACTTAAGACCCTCTTCGTGTAGCCGGAAGATAATCTGCTGGGGGCCCGACGGGCGTGGAGGGTCTGCCTTTGGGCTCAGCAGGGAAGGTGACAAATCCCCAGTTCTTCCCTGCTCTAAACTGGTCACTGGGTGCCTTTGAAAACTCTCCGTCCCCAAAGTCATTTCCTCCAGGGTCACACACAGAGCTTCAGCCTGCTCTGCAAGTATCTGTGACCATTTTGTCCTTGTCGTGGCAGGAGTGTTCCTAACTCACAATGTTAGGAGTGAATTAGGAGTGTTCCTCATTCATAATAGCCAAAGTCCAATCAGAACCAAGAGTGGAGAGGAGGCCGAGACTACAGGGAAGCTGGAGGAAGAGTGCCCTCCCTTCCCTGGGTGACCTGAGGCCCTGAGCTCTCTGGTCACTATGGCACCTGGATGCTGTCCTTTCTTCCCAGTGTAGAACATGCCCTCACTGCAGCTGGCTCAACTCTGTGGCCTGGACTGCGACACTGTCTTTACAAGGGAGCTCCGTCTCTGGGGCCAGTAGCCACATTTGATCATTCTTCGGGGTCTGGGGTACAAGTGTGCAAGGGACTGTGCTCTGAGAAACAGCCCGGGTTCACCCACAGGGGGCTGAGATGGCAGGATGCCTGGGTTCTCCCAACAGCAGTCATCTCTGGGGTCCAGGAGGAGGGCCAGAGGCCTGGGCTGGGCCAAAGTGAGAAAAGTAGAGCTTAGACACGAGGGCCTTGGGTTCCCAGAGGGCCTGGGGGTACTCTCCCACTCTCCCTTTACCTCCCGCTCCCAGACGGCTCCTCACTTTCTTCTGGAAGCCAGAGGTTGAGGGCCAGAGCCCTGCCTCCCTACTGCCTCTGCCTCCTACAGTGCGACTTCGGCAAGAGCACTGTGCTCTACACACGGGGTGAGCACTCCCTCCTGGAGTCTCCTGAGGACTGAATGAGACAACTCCTGCGCACGGCACACGCACCTACACACACCGAAGGCCGCTACACACGTCCGCTCAACAGCCCAGACCTCCCATGCAAACAACTGAAGGGTCTCCCTTCAGGCTGGCCGACCGTGTCCCAACCACCAAAGCACTTCACACCCGCAAACACACGAACCCAGCAGCCAGTGTGCTTCACAACCACACACACACACACACACACACACACACACGGTCCCCCAACATCAAAGCATATGCACACACCAGTAACCGAAGGGCTTCAGACCCACACACACCCACACAACCAAAGGGTTCACACACCCATTCACACCTTCCCCCACAACCAGAGCACTTTGCACGCGCGTGCGCGCACGCACACACACACACACACATTATCAAAGAAGTTCTACTCTCCCAACCAAGGGGCATCACACACTGCACCCCACAAGCAAAAGGCTCTGCTCACATACCCCAATAACCCATGCTCTCGGCGCAGACACCCCCCTCCCCCCGCCAAAGAAAACCCCAGAGCACTTTGATTTGTTTGCCGAAGCAGCGGATACTTGAACACCAAGACGTTGGGCTGCGACTTTCTTTTCAGATTAATGAGCAGAGAAAGATCGGAGAGCGGGGAGGGGGGGGCAGAGAATGGCGGGAGAGAGCAATTACACCCAAATCTTTTCTCTGTTGATTAGGGATTCCTTCTTCAGCCTGCTTTGGCTCCAGCTAAATCTTTTTCTAATGAGATGTGGCTTATCCAGATCAGAGCGCTGAGAAAAAAGTTGCAATTAACTTTGAGAAGAAAAGGAGTGAGTGAGAGAGGAAGGGGGCAGGGAAGGGGCCAGGCTGGCGGGCAGAAAGAGTGGGTGCAGCAAGGAGTCTCTCCTGCCGGGCCAAGGGGCCCGGGCCCAGCCCCATCTGGACCATCCACCGTTTTGGATTCCAGAGCTCGAGAAAAAGTCCCCTGTGGCCCCCATCCCTGCCTGGGCCAGGCCTCTCAGCCACTCCAGGCTCAGGTCAAGGGTTGGGAGTGGTGGGTGTCCTCGGGCCTGAGCCCCCTCTCCTCTGCACCCCAAACACCTGCTGGGGACGGTGGGGGCTGGACCCTCTCTCAGCAGCATCTCTTCCACACGTGAGCTCTTCCTTCTGCCTGCTTAGCCCTGCAAAGACATGGGGCCCTCGACTGCACGCCAGGAACCTCCATGAGCCCCCGTGTCAAGTCTGCACAAACTTCCTGAACCGCGGGGTCAGCTGTCCCCAGGCAGCCAGAAGCCCGGTGCCGGAGTGGGGCTTCGGCTCCCACCTGGGAGTCGGCCTCTGGTTATTTCCACGTGAGCCACTTGGAAGGGCACAGACAGTCTGGGATTGAAGGAGACATTTCGCACGGAAAATGGTGAAGATGCCGCAAGCTTCCAGAAGCAACACGGATTTACCTTCCTTTGCTTCTCTGTTGCCAGAGGTGGGCGTGGCCAAGCTGCACCCGTAGGAGCCCCTTCCCCTCTCTCTGGTGCTCAATTTCTTCCTCCGTTGAAAGAAATAAAGACGAGGGTGTGAGCGGCAGATCTCCAGGGGCTTTGCGAGGGCTGATGCCCTCAGTGGGGTGGGAGCCCAGGCCCACTCAGCAAGTCCTGATCAGAGGGGTCACACCGGTGGCCTGGTCCCCCCAGGACAGTGACTCATCCCTCCCAAGTTCTTACCCGCGCAGAGACTGGTTTCCCCCTGATTTGGCGATCAGGATCCAGCAATGCCCAAGGAAGGCTATCGCCAAGCTTGAGCTCTCGAACCAGGCGCTTCCGGTGGGGTACCAGATAATAACTTGACATCTGCATGCCAGCAGAGCTGGGGACCCCAATGTTGCATCAGAGGGAGATAGGAGAGGTGGGGTGGATGGAAGGGCAGGAGCAGAGCTCATTCTCCACTCCCTTTAGCCACACGCAGCCACCTCTGTTCAGAGGGCCCAGGCAGTTCGTCTGAAGCTGGGCTCCTTCATTCTCTTATCCACGGCCCATCCTTTCCCCACCCCATGGACCTCCCTGTGCAAATCAGAAAGGATTTTTATTGCACAGCTGGTGACTCAGTGGGAAAAAGTGAATCCAGGGCCTCTGAATGGTGCCTCATCCCATGAGTGTGCTCAGTTCCCAAAGGCAAGGGCCTCTGAGCCTTGGTGGCCACCCAGAAATATGGTTCCTTCAGGAGGATATTTGGGTAACCCCTTACCTAATAAGTTGTGGAGATCACACCAGGCCAGGGGACAGAGGAGCTGAGCCCATTTTTCCTGTGTCTAAGTTCCAGTGGGGTCAGCCCCTTTTACAGCCTTAAGGCCCAGAAATTCCTTAGCGTCTGGCTCCCTGGGTCCCTGGTCAGCCCTCCTCTCTGCCTCTGCCTTCTACCGTGTGAGCTGCTGGACACGATCCTGGCTTTCCCCTATCTTTCTCTGGCTTTCGCTGATCTAATAAGCATATGTGCTAGAAATACTAGCTGGAGTGCTAAGTTAGAAATGCTTCTTAAACGTATAGTAAGGTCAGATGAAGGGGGAAAAAAAAAAAAGAAACAACCCAGAAAACAAAACACAAAACCCCGAAACAGAAATTGGACACAGGAGGGCAGATGTAGACTGAACAGGAAGTGCTAGCCCTAGGCTAAATGAAACAGCTGTCACCATTGTTCTAGACTGAAAACTGCCTTTGCAAACTCCACGCGGCCCGGGCTCAGAAAGCAGATGTTAATAATTACAGCACATGAAACGAAGGGCACAGGATTAGGCAAGTGACGAAAAAGAAATGGTACTAGTAGATTTATAACTCGCTCAGGCAAATCTGTTCGGGGCTGGAGCGGGGGGAGGCATGGCGGCCCCACTGCAGATGCCCCCCCACCCAAATCCCCTCCCTAGTGTGGCATGTGGGCTTCTGGGATTGTCTCTGAATCAGGGGATTGTTTAGAGTGTTTTAGGGTGGTGGGCCGTGGAAGCCTTTCCCAGCTGCTTTTCCGGGGACCCCAGGCCACTGCCTACTGCCTCTGATGGAAAGGAAAGAGATAAAATCCCCAATACCCAACCCAAGTACCAAGAGGGGATCTCTGGGCAGACAAACCCTGGCGTCGGACGGCTGGCTGGTGGACGGGTATGTGTGGACACAAAACCGGGCAGCCATCCCTGGAGGCTCCTGCTGTACCATGGGGTTCACGCTGAAAATCCAGGAGCTCAAGTTCTTTGCAGCTGTAACTGATTCGCGCTTCTAAGTCAGCCAGCCCCGGTGCCTTGGAAGAGGCAACGTAGCGCTGGGAGAATGTTGAGGCAGTTGAAGAAAGGACGCAGAACAAGTTTCTTGGGCTAATTACATAAATAGAAAAGGCAGAGTCTTCACATGTTTTCTGAACATTCCTTGGTGCTTTTCCATGTGAGTCTGTGTTGTCAAAAGCAAAACAAAACACACACTCACATCCATCCCAAATCCTCCCATCCCACTACCCCCTGGAAAAGACGTCTCCAGGAAAGGTTAGAAAGAAGGTAAAGCATGTGTTTGCCATCTTTACGCCTGATATGGAAACCATATGCTTAAATACACTAGCAAACATACTTAATATAACACTCTCTTTTATTAAATGTGGTTTTATAAACGCTCTCCCCAGCCAGGGCACCTTTGCTGTGCTGGAGGCTGGAACTTGGCAAAATAATCTTCCCGCTGTTACATCTATTGATACACATTTTTGGAAAATGAGTCTCGGACCCTCGGAAAATGGACTGGTTCTGATTATTATTGCAAGTGGGAAGGGGCACACGAGGGCATCTTTTTTCCTCTGATAAATTAAAAGAACTGTAACGGGTGCTTTCTGCAACCTGTAAAGGGCAGAGCCATCTGTGATTCATTTAGCAGCTCCTTACAGAAGATTTATTTGATTAATTCGGTCAGAAGAGAGAGAATATGGATTTTCCCCTGCTCTGAAAGGCGCATACGCACTCACACATGCTCACACGCACCCACCCATGGGCAGACATCTCAGGAATGAAAAATGACTAATCGTGTTATTGGAACTGGCCAACGCGGGGCCCAGGCGCTGAGATAGCAGGCTCCCGCCCTGCCGATGGGAGGGCTGGTTCCAGAACAGATTTCATATCCTTGGGCCCAGTGCCACCAAAGAGCGATCTTAGAGAATAATCCCGTGACCCTGGATCGCTTTTATCAGGTATCGATTACTGGTATCAGGCTCCATGCTGAGCGCTTGGCACGCATGACCTCATTGCTCGGTTGCAAGGACCCCTCTGCTTTGCAGACGGGGAGATACCCCCTTCCTAGCAGTCCTTGTTCAAAAGGACGTTCTCTTTTTTTCAGATGGTATTTGGCTTTCTTCGTCCTCCATGCCTAAACTGTGCGGATAGAGGCTACAAATCTACATTCGTTGCAAAGTGTATAATCTTAAAAGTGGTCATCTGCTTCGGCTGTGCTCCATGCCCTGGGGGATCCAGTTCAGTGTTGACAGAGAAAGACCCTTTGGGGGGACTTATTTCTAGTCTCAGAAAGCTGGCCTTAGTTGTCCTCACCTTGCATGGCCTGTCGGAAGACCACTGTCAGTGCCCACGGGGTGGGCACAGCCCTTGACATAGGTCCTTGGAGAAGGCAAAGAAGATAGCACAGTCAAGAAGAATCATAAAAATCCTACAAGTTTGTAACCAAAAAAGACTAATTCTGTCAACGTCAGGAGTGGCAAATGTATAGCAAGGAAATGGTGCCACTACCCTCATTCCTATGGTGGCAGCAGACTTTGCTAATTAATCCCAGTTCTTGCTCTCCCCCATACCCTCAAAATCCTTCCGGGCACAGTTCTCTAGGCTGTCTCTACCAAAAGATCAGACTTAGGAAAGGAGTTGAAAGCTGTTTGCAGTCCCTTCCAGCCAAATGTTCCATTTTGCAGCAGAAGGGACAGGGGCCCAGAGAAAAACCAGCTACAAAACCATTTCGGGAGAGAGCTCCCTGACTTCCCTGCCCACTAGTCCTTGAGTCCACACCAGTGGGGCTGCTGGAAGCCAAGGCACAGTGAGTCATAAACCTGTGTTTTGCTGGGTAAGCTTTCACCCCCCCTACCCGGCCACCCCCAAAGAACGTCACTGACCCTGCTCTGCAGACAGGCTTAAAGGCGTCCCCTAGAAGGTGGCAGAAGATTGAAATCTCTCCGTTACTTTAAAATAGTTTACTCTGAGGTGCCTGGGTGGCTCATTTGGTTAAGCATCTGCCTTCGGCTCAGGTCTTGATCCCAGGGTCCTGGGATCGAGCTCCCCCCACCCCCGGGCTCCCTGCTCAGCAGGAAGCCTGCTTCTTCCTCTCCCTCTGCCTACTGCTCCCCTGCTTCTGCTCTCTCTCTCTCTCTGCCAAATAAATAAATAAAATATTTAAAAAGTATAAATAAATAAAATAGTTAATTCCTAACCTGGGATAGGGTGGGGCAACCTGAACCCAAAATATTTTATAGTCCCGAGAAAGAAGTAGAAGGTTTCATTCTGGAAACGCTAGGGTCAGTGGACATCCCCCCACTCCCAGCCTTTCCCACTTCTCCCTGCTTGCTGGACCACAGAAAATGACTACATCAAAGGCAACCAGCACTCAATAGGCTGGAGGCAGAGGGTGCTTGTCCCAGGTGATGGTCACACCTTCTTCAAACTTTTCAGCTAAGTGGAATTTCTCTGTGGGAAGAATAACAATTCTGTGAAGGGGAGGAGGCATCTCCAAGTTTGGAAGTTCTCTCCCAAACCCCTTTCCTGCTGGTCCTTTCCCAGACCCATCTTTTTTTTTTTTTTTTTAGATTTTATTTATTTATTTGACAGACAGAGATCACAAGCAGGCAGAGAGAGATGGGGAAGCAGGCTCCCTGCTGAGCAGAGAGCATGACATGGGGCTCGATTCCAGGACCCTGAGATCATGACCTGAGCCGAAGGCAGAGGCTTTAACCCACTGAGCCACCCAGGCGCCCCGTTCCAGACCCATCTTAAATGTTTCTCAGCCCAGTGGGGCCCAAGAGGGAATTTGGGGCTCACTAACTTGTTCTGCTGAGTCTGATTTTCCATTGAAAGAGCGAGGCTGAGAACAAGGATGGGTTCGGAGAATCAGAGTGAGTCTGATACACCATGTATTTTAAAGGGAGGCAGTCATGGTGTGTTGAACGCTGAGAGTCTCACCACTATTCCATTCAGCAAGGTTCCCTGTTGGATCTGTAGGGGACCTGCTTAAAGAATGGGTAACAGTCGTATGTGACTTGCATCTCACCTATTGTGTGGCTCTTGGGTGTTTCTGCAATTTTTGAAAAGGTTTGAAAACACTTTGTTTAAACATGCCTCCTACCATCTTGTTTACACTATGAATTTGTGATTCATACTGAAGAAAAGTTTGCTAACTGAATCATACTCTAGTCCAGCAGAGCCTCTTGAAAAGATCACAAATATTGAATTAGTGGAGTCCCAAATAATGAGGATTTTACAGGGCTCAAA